GGACAAGCAGATACACATTAGCCATTAGTAATGTCTTCAAATGGTAATTATAATGGGCAATGTATAACACAGGAGCCATTGAATAAAAAATATGGGCTTTCACATTTAGAGCATTCATATTCACTTTTACAAATCAAACATCTTTCAGGGCATTATAGACATTAATTATTCAATAACACTGTTAATTATGGACATGCTAAAAGACAGTCATTTTTATACTAAAAAGTACTCAATGGACATTGAGAATAACAATGATCAATATATAAATAACTATCTTTAGGACATAATTAAGCACATTCATTATTAACATTATTGTAATAATAAGGGCAATAATTATTACATAAGCCATCATTTAAATATGTACCAAGGGCACATTTGATACACCCAAAAGAATTGCATTCATTACAATTTTCAGAACAATCATAGCATTTTGAATTTTAAACATAAGTTAATGGTGGACAGGAACTAACACAGATTTTAAGGTATTAGTAAATACCACAAATTGCTACACATTTATTGTTATCTTAGTAGAGATTATTAGGACATGTAAGAACACACTATTTATTAACTTCATCATATAATTATGGACATGTTAATGTACAAATTTGATTATCCAAATAATATCCATCAGAACAAGTGATACAATCTTAATCAGAAGGCCCAATACATGATGCACATGATAAATTACAATCTTTACATTCTTACTAATTTTAATATGTTTTTTATGGGCAACTATGAGCACATATCTATTTATTATTATATAGAATTGGATCAGTAGGGCAATTTTCTAAACATTCATTTTAATATTCAAATAAAGAGGCATCGCATTCATCAACACACTTTATATTCTTTCTATCAGTTTTTCCAATCGTACAACTGAGTTAACATTATCCATTTTATAAATAATAACCAAATAAACATTTTGAACATTTTGTAAATGATTCACATTCTTCACAATATTATGGGCATTTAGTGCAAACTTTATCTTTTGAATACATTCCTTTTGGGCATGCTGGCACACATTTATTTTAAAGTATATAATTGCAGTCATCTACACAAAATCTTTTGCCATATGATTCTAAATGATATAATGTAGAAGGACATTTAGTTACACAAGATCTTGAAATAGGATCCATAAATAAATATTCATTTGAACAAAAACTAACACAAGAATTGACTTACAAGATAAAAATTGTTGGCACAAGCTTAACAAACTGTTGCTGAAGTACATTTTGAACATTTAGAGTCACATTATTAACATTAATTGCCATCTAAATAATATCCATCTTATAGAACTAAAACACATTTAGATTAACAGATGATATAATTTGATGGACATGATGAAACACATTCTTTTTTTTCTGTTATTTCAAACATATTACTACAATCTGCCATGCATTTATTAGTTTCATTATTATAATATAAAGGACAAACTGATTTACAACTTTATTCATCTAAAAAATAATTTTCTATGCAAGAATAGCATTCATTAGCCGTTGGTCCATAACAAGAACTACAAAATAAATTGCAATCATAACAGTGATCATCTACAAGATATGCGAATTTTGGGCATTATTAAACGCAAACTTAATTATAGACTAAATATCCAGAATCACATTCATTTTAACAATTAACTCCTTAAATTACTAAATGAACAGGACATGCATCTTTACATACATGGTCTGTTAAATCATAAAACTGAGGACAATTATTTTAGCAAGTCTAATCATTCAAAAAATAAGGAAGTTCACATTCAAAGCAATTACCATTATTTGGTCCAAAACATTCTTTACATATAGAATTGCATTCATAGCATTTACCAAGCCATAAGTATGATTTAGAATAGCATTAATCTACACATTCTTTTTTACCATTTAATTCATAATAGTATAAAAATGTAGGGCAAGGACTAAAACAATAATTTTTTTTCAAGTATAAGTAGTCTGGACATGCTGCCACGCATGTTTAGTCAGCTAAATTTGCATAAGGTTTATAATCAGGGCAAACAGAATAACATGTTGTTTAATCTCTATAATAGCCAAGATCACATTTAGTGCACTCATTAATTTTAACACCAAAACATTCTGAGCATGGACCAGCACAACTTTTGCAAATTTATTTATCTAAATAGGTTTAGCTAGGGCATGCAGAAACACAAATATTAGAATAATAATATTTGGGGCAATCTTCAGTACAAGCAAGCGCTCCACTATCTAATGTTCTTATATAAGTTCCTTAAGGGCACTATTAAACACATTTACCGTTAACCCAATCTTAAACTAAATCAGGTTCAATAATGCAAGAATTAATACAAGTTGTCCCTCCATTCATAAAGTAACCAACTGAGCATGTCAAACATCCATTATAATTTCCGTTTTTGCATGTTGCACATCCAGGGTAACAGCTTAAACATAATTTTGTATATTATAGATTATAAGTTCCCATAGGACATCCCATTTAATAGCAAGTTCTTAAGGCGGGATATTAGTAATATGAATTAGAGCATTAATAAACGCAAGAGCCATTTTCTGCAAAATAAGTGCAACTAGAAACGCATTGTAAAGTGATTTAATCTTTATAAGGTGCAATACTTGGACAATCCGTATAACAAGTAGATCCATGTATATAAGCACCTGGGGAACATTTTGAACATGATGTAGAGTAAGCATTTTGGCATTCTTTGCAAACTGAGGCACAACTATCACAAAAATAATAGTCTTTTCTATCTAAACAGTATGTTTCTGAAGGTTTCAATTCATAGCATATTTCTTTGAATTAATATTGTTTAAACAAGCAAGTTACTGAACAATATGTAACTATTACAGAATTACCATTAATATTTTCTCGACCAAAGGTTTTTATAGATTATTCACATACATCAACACATTTCCAATTTAAACTATCATTAAATTATGGATAGCACTATTTAATACATTCATTGTTTTTTAAATATGATTTAGGTTTACAACTTAAACATTAATTTGAGTTTGGACCCGAGCATGTTTTGCATTTATAATTACAATTATAACAATTAAATCCTTCGCAATATGCTCCTACCTCTGGCATCTCTTCATAACACCTATTATTCAAAGAATATTAAAAAGTTTGATATTTAGATCCACAACTTTAAACACATGCATATATACTTAATGATTGATCTATCACTTAATATCCTGATGAACATGATCCTTCACATACAAAGTCCAAATAATTTTAAAACTTACCTTAGCAAGAGTCATAGCAATTATTTTAATCTAAAAATTTAAAGTAAGGGCAAGAAGTGCAGAAGATAGCACTTTATTCACAAGTAGCACAAGTATGGCTACATGGTAAACATTATAAGAGTAAGGTATTACCATAATATCCATCCTCACATGGATACATACATCGATGAGTATCAGTTTGATGCAGAAAAGTTTAATAATCTTTATTGGCTCTTATAGTACCACATTTCTCCTTAAAGCATTAATTAATCTGATATCCATTAATATTGTTATTCTCATAAATTAAATCTTGAGGATCACAAGATGTTCTACAGGAACTAACATTATCTATTATTTCTAAGTATTGAGGATAACATGACTTAACACACATATTCTAATCCATTGGATACTGATATAAACAACTAGTACAAAATTTATCGCTAGTACATGATTTACAAAATTAGGGACAATATTAAAGTAAAACAATTGATTTGGGTGATACTTCGTCAGGAATTTCTTATACTACTTCATATGTATCAATTAAATTTGCTTTCAGGCATTAGTTCTAAAATAATTTATATCCAACGCTGCATTCTTTAACACAATTTTTATTCTCTGTATATAACCAAGTTGGACATTCTAATTCACAAGTCCAATTATATTTGTTATTAAAATTGAATTTATTATTTTAAGTTATAGAGCAATCTGGAATACAAGATGTCATATAAGGGTTATAATAAAAATTTTAAAAGCATTTCAAACAATTTGATTCTTGAGGTCCAAAACAATAATAACATTTACTATGGCATTTTGTAGTTGTAAGAGTGTTTACTTTTAAGTAAGTAATTTTTTAAGGAGTTTAAAATTATTCTTTTGTCAAACAGTAATAACCAATATCAAGTTCGGTAACTGTACAATTTATTGCTGGATTACAGTAATAATTTGTATTCTATTTACCATTTGGAAAAGTAAGATTGAATAAATATCTTTCACACTTACCTACACAAATTTTATTTGATGCTATAAATCGTAAGTTAGTTGAGCAAGAAGATTTACATTCTTTTAATTCAGTTAATACATTGTTATTGTTGCATTAAGTACATTTACTATTAAATTAAGATTTTAAGCATGAAGACACTGCTGCTCCAGTGCATTTTAATTGAGAAGAAGAATATAAATTATTAGTACATAATTTACTTATTTATTTACTTACTTGTTTTTCATCTAAAGTATTGCTTAGAACATTTAAAGTTTAGTTGAATGAGCAAAATTGTGCATTTTAATCAGAACATTTGAATGGAGAAGATAAAATTACACTGTTTTATATGCATTAACCATTCATTAATGCATAATTTTATTCACAAATATCACATGATAATGAAGATGATGACAATCTGAGACAATTTGGAATGATTATTTTGGAGCAGCTATTTTATTATTCTTTATATCCTGCTGGACAAGGATAGACTTTTGTATCATCATTAGGATCTTATTCTTTACAATAATGAGTGCCTGATTTACAAAATGCACAATAATCGCCTACAAATATCAAACAATCATGATTTAAAGTTTATCTGATTCCAAATCCTTTAAAAATTTTGATATCTTAAATATCAATTATTTCTGATCCTTTATCATCCATAAATACAGGTCCTAAAACTAATCTTTTATATGGCTTAATGTTTGTTATAACAGTTAAGTTACTTTAAACATTATCGATAAAAATTCTCATTAATTTCCTTTAATTTAGTTATTCAAAATCATCATCAAAACTAATATCCAAAATTCCAATTGTAACATGATTCCATATATTCTAAGTTAAATTACAGACTGGGGTTTTATTATAAATTTAATAAAACAGAAGATTATAAAACTTATTAACTCCAAAACCTATACTTGTTTCTTATAATACATCATCTGTAAATGATAAAAATTAAAATGAAGATAGGATATTTTAAGGTTTCACCCAAAAAATTATTGTTAAAGTTGGCAATTATTCAATAAAATTATAAACTATTTATGTATTTTTATACAAATTTATCCCAATACTCCCACTATATTCAATATATTCTGTCTACTTTCTCAAAACAATGTCAGAAAATATATTACTTACAATTATTCCATTCTATGAATATGGTTTTAAT